TCATAATCATCAATCATAATCATCAATCATAATCATCAATCATAATCATCAATCATAATCATCAATCATAATCATCAATCATAATCATCAATCATAATCATCAATCATAATCATCAATCATAATCATCAATCATAATCATCAATCATAATCATGATCATCAATCATAATCATCAATCATAATCATCAATCATATTCATCAATCATAACCATCAATCATAATCATCAATCATAATCATCAATCTTAATCATCAATCATAATCATCAATCATAATCGTCAGTCATAATCTTCAATCATAATCGTCAATCATAATCGTCAATCATAATCGTCAATCATAATCATCAATCATAATCATCAATCATAATCATCAATCATATTCATCAATCATAATCATCAATCATAATCATCAATCATAATCATCAATCATAATCATCAATCATAATCATCAATCATAATCATCAATCATAATCATCAATCATAATCATCAATCATAATCATCAATCATAATCATCAATCATAATCATCAATCATAATCATCAATCATAATCATCAATCATAATCATCAATCATAATCATCAATCATAATCATCAATCATAATCATCAATCATAATCATCAATCATAATCATCAATCATAATCATCAATCATAATCATCAATCATAATCATCAATCATAATCATCAATCATAATCATCAATCATAATCATCAATCATAATCATCAATCATAATCATCAATCATAATCATCAATCATAATCATCAATCATAATCATCAATCATAATCATCAATCATAATCATCAATCATAATCATCAATCATAATCATCAATCATAATCATCAATCATAATCATCAATCATATTCATCAATCATAACCATCAATCATAATCATCAATCATAATCATCAATCTTAATCATCAATCATCAATCATAATCGTCAGTCATAATCTTCAATCATAATCGTCAATCATAATCGTCAATCATAATCGTCAATCATAATCATCAATCATAATCATCAATCATAATCATCAATCATATTCATCAATCATAATCATCAATCATAATCATCAATCATAATCATCAATCATAATCATCAATCATAATCATCAATCATAATCATCAATCATAATCATCAATCATAATCATCAATCATAATCATCAATCATAATCATCAATCATAATCATCAATCATAATCATCAATCATAATCATCAATCATAATCATCAATCATAATCATCAATCATAATCATCAATCATAATCATCAATCATAATCATCAATCATAATCATCAATCATAATCATCAATCATAATCATCAATCATAATCATCAATCATAATCATCAATCATAATCATCAATCATAATCATCAATCATAATCATCAATCATAATCATCAATCATAATCATCAATCATAATCATCAATCATAATCATCAATCATAATCATCAATCATAATCATCAATCATAATCATCAATCATAATCATCAATCATAATCATCAATCATAATCATCAATCATAATCATCAATCATAATCATCAATCATAATCATCAATCATAATCATCAATCATAATCATCAATCATAATCATCAATCATAATCATCAATCATAATCATCAATCATAATCATCAATCATAATCATCAATCATAATCATCAATCATAATCGTCAATCATCAATCATAATCATCAATCATAATCATTAATCATAATCATCAATCATAATCGTCAATGATAATCATCAATCATAATTATTAATCATAATTATCAATCATAATTATCAATCATAATCATCAATCATAATCATCATTCTCAATCATGAATCATAATCATCAATTATAATTATCAATTATAATTATCAATCATAATCATCAGTCATAATCATCAATCATAATCGTCAATCATAATCAACAATCATAATCATCAATCATAATCATCAATCATAATCATCAATCATAATCATCAATCATAATCATCAATCATAATCATCAATCATAATCATCAATCATAATCATCAATCATAATCATCAATCATAATCATCAATCATAATCATCAATCATAATCATCAATCATAATCATCAATCATAATCATCAATCATAATCATCAATCATAATCATCAATCATAATCATCAATCATAATCATCAATCATAATCATCAATCATAATCATCAATCATAATCATCAATCATAATCATCAATCATAATCATCAATCATAATCATCAATCATAATCATCAATCATAATCATCAATCATAATCATCAATCATAATCATCAATCATAATCATCAATCATAATCATCAATCATAATCATCAATCATAATCATCAATCATAATCATCAATCATAATCATCAATCATAATCATCAATCATAATCGTCAATCATAATCGTCAATCATAATCATCAATCATAATCATCAATCATAATCATCAATCATAATCATCAATCATAATCATCAATCATAATCATCAATCATAAGCATCAATCATAATCATCAATCATAATCGTCAATCATAATCATCAATCATAATTATTATTCATAATTATCAATCATAATTATCAATCATAATCATCATTCTCAATCATGAATCATAATCATCAATTATAATTATCAATCATAATTATTAATCATCAATCATAAATATGTCATAATCATCAATCATAAATATCAATTTTTCTTACAATATGTAAATCAATATTAAATCAGAATTTAAAACTATAACTAAAATTATGTTAAAGGAATTATAATGTATCTATTAAACTCAAATAACCTATAATAATTGCCCCGAAACTTCTTATAACTAAAATTTAATTTAGTACTATCCCGTCAATTAAACAATTAAAATTATTTTGAAATAATTATAATTTACGTAATAAATTTTAAAAACCTAAAATATTTGCCAAAAACTTCTTACAATTAAAATCCAAAAACAATTATTTTAAAATAATTATATTTATATATATATATAATCCTTAAAATTAAAATAACCTAAAGTAATTTCCGCATTTGTTTCTACAGAAAAAATTTTCAATTTAGAAATCCCTAACTTCACTCAAACCCTTAGATTCCTAACTAATATAACAAAAAATATAAACTGTAACATCCACGCACTTGACAATGCTCTTTACACATTACAGTGTTGCCGCTAGTTGGAGTCAAAATAGTGAGTGAAATGAAAGGATAATATACATTATGTATATTATTTAGCGCCTCTAACGGTAATCTCACAAACTAAATTTTGTATATTTTCTTTCATATCTGGCACTAAATTGCGTCCATTTAATTCATTATAACTGCCATCTCGTATTGGTTAGCTTTAAATAAGAGTTAAATATAGAAACCCAACCACAAAACAAACTTATCTCTGTAAAATTGATTTTGTTCCGTGCTTATACAAGGCGCGAAAAGCCGAAAACTATTTTGCGTCCGATATTCGGACGTAAAATAGTCATGGAAGCAAAATGTAATGTACTGTGCATGTTATCGGACGCAAAATACTGCTAAGGATATATATATATATATATATATATATATATATATATATATATATATATATATATATATATATTACGTAATAGTTTTGAATTTCATTACGTAACAGTATCTGTAATGATGTATTTACTTATAAACAAAACGGTACATAATAGGCGATTTACTGGGGTGGTTGTAGATAAAATTCATTACGTCACCAGTTGTGAATAGAAAACAAATAAAATAAAACTTTATTGGTTTTAAAATCAATAATTATATTGAAATTGAAATTTTATATCAAAGAAGGACAGGTTGATTTATAAAAATAGAATTTGGTTAAACTTACAACCTAGTAATAAGATTGTTTCGGTTTTTATTTTCCAGTCCAAATCAGCACAAAATAATTAAAACACAATGCCCGTTAATATAATCAACTTTTTTGAAAACTATATAACTTTATTAAACAATATAAACACACTGCAGATTAGATTAGATTTAATTATGACTGTGGGCAATGTATCCTCCCTTGAACTGTTCAGATCTATTGTGGATATCCCTTAATCGTTGTTGGGAGTACCTTGTCTAATTCGGTATTTTATAGTAGACTCCATAGACTGGGAAGTAGTTCTCCGGCATAGCTGGTTGTCCTTGGTTTTCCTTTGTATAAGGATTCTCAGTCTTGCTAGATCTTCGCAGTAGCACAATACGTGATCTGCTGTTTCCTCCTCTTCCTGACAAAATCGGCACAAGGTCTCTTCTATCAGACCGATATTATACAAATGTTTGTTAGGCCTACAATGCACTGTTAAGTATTCTAGGATTTCCTATTAAGGCTTAATAGATGCTCGGTGAGTTAAGGCAATTGTCGTTTTAAGAACTTTTTGGCCTGTCTCTGTCCTGGTGAATTTTTCCACCACTCCTGAGATGTTTTAATCATTCACTGCTTTGTGCATGTTGTTTCAGTGACACCACAGAAGGGTTTCGGGCCAATAAGAGCTTCTGAGGCTTCTTCTAGGGCTAGTAAATCAGCCTCTTCGTTGCCCTTATGTCCTCTGTGACCTGGTACCCATGTTAAGGTTAGTCTGTTTTGACTGTCCAGCTCTATTAGGGCTTCCAAACAGTCCAACACAAGCTTTGAGTGTACCTGCATAGAAATAAATGCTTTTAACGTCACTTGACTGTCTGAGTATATGAAAATAGTCTTTCCGTTTACATTCTGTCTTAATTTCTCACCAAAAATCGTTTAATATTGAGAAACGTAAGTTTTAGTGCAAACAAAATGCTAATTCACTCTCACACTTGAAAATGATAACTAAAGTGAACACAAAGTCGTAGATCAGAGGTGCACAACGTACGGTCCGCGGGTCGAATGCCGCCCGGCAGTGTCGTTTTGGCGGCTCGCCGGCTATTGACCAAATTAGACAGAGAGGGAGTTGAAGGATTAGAGCATAACTGAATAGTTAAATGGCTCACATAACACTATTTATATAAGATTTGTTAATATTAAAAAATAATTTATTAGTTATACTCTATTCCATTTGATACTAACATTAAAACCCTAGTCCCGCAATTTCAAATGGAAATTATTGACTTACAGCAGTGATGTAATTAAGAAGAAACACCAAAACTCATCTTCCACTGATACAATTGGAAAATTGGCATAAATTTGCTCGTGGTCTGTTCTGTGTTTTTAGTACTACTTACTTGTGTGACAAAACATTCTCCAAAATTAATAACACAAAGAATGTTTACAGATCTAAGTTAACCGATGAGTATCTTAAATTTCTTTTAATAATTAGTACAAGTAAAATTGGCCCACAACTACAAACTATTTTTACAAGTAGACACTCCGCGGTTTCATTCGCGTTAATTCAGCCTGAGGGATTTTCAGGATAAAAATCATATGTGTGATTCAGGATATATACATTCCAAACATCGATATACATATACGACACTGTTTATCCCTAAATAACTACCGAGGGTGAAACCGCGAGATGTTTACTAGTTTATAATTTTAGAGGGATTTAGTACAATTATTTGTTAGATGTCGTGGGGCCGGATTGATGACACTGGCGGGCCGTATTTGGCCCGCGGGCCGTAGTTTGGAGACCATTGTTTCAATCCAATACAGCCTAAATAAATTTCAATAAGGGGCGCTTCTGAAACATTTGGTTTGTTACTGAACTGAACTTATTTATATATGTGCTACTAATTAGTTCTTCTGACATGCGTCATGTACCAATTGACCTACGTACAAGATTTTAAAAATGATATGCCCTTGTTCAGAAGAATATTTTTTTTATTATATAAAATAATAGGAAATGGTTACAGGACCATTTTATTTAAGACGCTTTTTTTATCATAAGAACACTTATTTATTCAGGTTGTAAATAAACTGAGAAGTTCGAAAAATATAATATACAAAAAATCTAAGTGAGCATTACAAATTCTATTAAAATAACATTTTATTTATTGCAAAAAGAAATTTTCTAAGTATGGTAAAACTTCTACATATGTTCTGTGACTAGCCTCTGGAATAATTATGCTAACAAAAAGAATGCACCCAAAAGATATAGACATAAATATGTAGAAAGTATTGTCAATCCCGTGTATCTCAGAGGCGTCCAAATAAAATTTAGTTATAAGGAATATTAGCAACCAGTGAAACGCTCCTATAATTGAACTGAGTTTGGCTCTGATCAATACTGATAGAAGTTCAGAACATGTAAGCCATGGAATTGGTCCTAAGCCCAGATTGAAACCAAACAAAAATATTACTGTAGCTAGTATAGGTAAAAAGTAAGATACTTTACGTACGTCATCTTCGTCTAGTTTTATTTTGAAGGTAAAAAATAAACCAAGCAGGAATGCACCCACTGCGCATAAAGCAGCTGATATGTTAAGAAGTAATATTCTCCCTATTCTATCAATTAACCAAACCGATGAAGCTGTACCCAAAAGTCCTACCACACCTGTTATTATAACACCAAGATAAGGCGGAACAGGGGTACTTGAATTTATAAATATATCTTTTGTATAGAAGAGTACAGGAGCTATTCCACTAAATTGTTGGAAGAACATTAACATAAAACATATAATAGTAGCTTTTATTTGTGATTTTGTTTTTAACACCTTCATGAATTTTGTAGAATTCTGTCCAGACTTTAGTTCTTCAATTTCTAGATTAAAGTATTTCAGTTCTACACTAAAATCATACTCTTTTCCTCTTAACCGTTTAAAACTATTTTCAGCTTCTTCCTTTTTTCCTTTTTTTAAGTAGTAATATGGAGTTTCGGGTTGAAACCAAAAACATAGGCCAAATACAACAGGAAAAGTCATACATGCTACGTTAAAATAAAAAATTGGAAGAGCCCATCCAAGGACCATGCTATGTAAAACACCCAAACTAACAAATAATTGTACCATTATACTGAAGCTGCCTCGTAAATGAGTTTGTGCAATTTCTGTGGTGTACATTGGTGCAACAACATTTATTCCTCCACCACCCAATCCAGTTAGAAATCTTCCAAGACAAATCATGTAAATATTTGATGATAACAAAATTAATATCCAACCAACTGTAAACGGAATTACGGTTAATAATAAAGCAAACTTCCTTCCTTTAGCATCTGCTCCAAATCCAATACCCAAAGAAGAAAACATAGCTCCGAATGCAAAAGCGGATGCAGCCCAACTCAACTGAGCATAGTTCATGATCATTCCATTTAGTACTCCATTTTCAAGTCCGTCTGTTATGTTAGATGTCCATGCTAATGCGGTACCATAAGCATATCCTCCCAAACAAACTATCAATGCCGGTTTATATTGTGGGAACAGTCTGGCTCTTTCCATTATTATTTTTATATTATTTTAGATGTATTATTATTAAAGATTTTTAAAATCATGTTCAATATTAGTGAGTTTAATATATTTTTATAAAGACATGAAAATTTTCACATTTGACAACAATCAGAAATACCATTAAAAATACATAACTAATTTCACAAAACCACAGAACTATCAATTCGATCAGAGATTAGGGACATAAAGATTGGAAACGCAACGACCCCAGCAACGATGTCGTCATCTAGCGTCTCAGATGTTAACTACAGATCTACATCGTTTGTAGAGAGACCAGTGTTGTCAAATATTTTTTTTGAGAGATCGTACGAGTGGAAAAATTGTACAATAAATACATGCATAGTATAATAAAATAAAAAAATACTGGAATGATAATTTATTTATGTTTACAACGAAAAAAAAAACTAAAGAAAATACATGAAACTTTAAATTAACATAAGTAATCAATGACAATCACTTGAAACTGATTAAAATTTTGAATGCAAGCTTTTCTTATGCCGTGATAGTCGGTGTACAAAATTACCATGGTCAAAATCACGATAAGAAATTACGAACGACCTATGAATCTTTGCAAGTAGTTTTTGATTTTTATTGTTTTATGTTCTGAAGTTGTTGCAGATATTTAAATAAACCATGGAGGTAGTATTCAACCATGATTCAACCTCATTGAAATAAACCTACTAAAAAAGTGAATATCGTATTTTTACATACGATCTCACTGATGCAATCGTACATCGCCATCCACTCGCCATCGTACAGTTAAAAAATCGTATAAATAAGATTTAAATCGTACGGTTGGCAACACTGAGACAGACAGTAGACGTGGACAGCAGTGGACAGTTTGTAAAAATAAATGTCAGTTTGATGTATATCGAAGAATCCTGAATTTAAATTTAAAATTTTGAGTTCATGATTGTGTTATCCTCTAGATGAACTAAGCGAAATAGTTGTGGCTGTTTTTGTGTGAAATTTAAGGACAGTAATCAATAACGGAGAACGTATTGCATTAGTAACACATGCCACATGAACAAATTTAACAACCCCAATGTGGCTTGAAAACGTTAGAAAGAAGATTTGATGTAGGAAGAAAAATATCTGAATTCCCATTATTGAATTTGCACTCAACCTTTTTAATAAGAACAAAAATGCAGTGTTACAAATAACAATAAAAAATTTAAAAATATTTGTCATAAAAAATATAGATTTACAATAATAATTAATCGATAATAGACTGTAAGTGTAGTATTCTTTTTAATAAATAATTTAGCATAAATACATTGTTTAAGTTTATTTACAAGAACATGAGAGTGCAGTCGATATTTATGCAACCTTTATTATCAGTTTTTTGAATTTCACGCTGTGTCGTTTGATATCGATGAAAGCGCCACATAGTGGGCCAGATGTTAACTGCAATAAAGCTGGTCGTTGTTTAGCATTGGCTTCTTATGGGCGTTTCCTATCTTTATTTCCCTTATCTCCGAATTCGATGAAAGTGATGACTGATAAGAAGTAACAGTTGCCATTACACATGATTGGATTTTATTTGTTACACTAATGTCAGACTGGCACTGTTATACTTGTTAAAACTATATGCTACACTCTTAGACTAGGTAAGGCTAAGGCTACACTCAAATATTTAAAGCTACACTAAACAAATCAAATGCGATTAGTGCAGAACACTTACACCTAATGCAATAAATAAAATCCTCTATTGGTTCTGGAGTGAAAAGAGTAAAAGAACTCGCGAAATTAATGTCCGTTTATTTTTTATAGCATGTCAAGATGACATTTAGTTATTTACCAATTTTATAATGAATTTTTAGAAAAAATTATTAGAAACCTATTTTTGAGATGTCAAAAAAGCCTGAAAGGTGGCGTCAATACTATGCTGCATTTACAATTTCCATTGGAGCATGGGGTTATGGTACGGTCTTAGGCTGGCCATCAAATATCACAAATAATCTCAGAGCTGGAGAACTTAATGGAGTGAAGATGACCGACACACAATTAAGTTGGGCAGGATCTGTTCCAACTCTTGGAGCTATGTTTTCATGCCTCGTTATTGGATTTATAGCAGATGCCATAGGTAGAAAAACTGCTTGTTTTATAACCTTGGGACCGTCAATATTAGGTTGGATTTTGATATTATCTGCACAAAATGTTGAAATGGTTTATTCTGGAAGATTTTTAACTGGTCTTGGTGGTGGTGGTTTTGTCGTAGTAGCTCCTGTTTACACAACTGAAATATCCGAAACGATAATTAGAGGTACTTGCGGTTTAATCTTACAAATATTACTTATATTTGGCGTTTTTTATTCCAATGTTATGGGATGGATCTTTTCAGTATTTTTCTTTAACTTTTCATGTCTATTAGTTCCCATTCTGTTTGGAGTCTTATTTATTTTTCAACCAGAAACTCCATTTTATTATTTAGAAAAAGGAAAAAAAGAAGAAGCCGAGGACTCATTAAGAAGATTAAGAGGTAAAGATTACGATATTACTGAAGAAATAAATTATATTATTCATCTGATTGAATTTCGCCCTGAGCGCAGCTTTAAAACATTTGTTGCCGCTATAAGAACTAAAGCTCAAATTAAAGCCACAATTATCTGCTTTATGTTAATGTGGTATCAAAAGTATTCCGGAGTAAACGTTATAGTTTTTTACACAAAAGATGTATTCATAGCATCAGGTATTCGTATGAAAGAGGAACTTGGTGTCATACTGACCGGTGGAGTAGGAGTACTGGGAACCTTTGTATGCGTTGCAGCAGTTGATTACTTCGGAAGAATAGCATTATTTGTAACATCCACTTTTTTATGTATGACATCAACATTTTGCATAGGATTGTTTTTTCATTTAAAAGAAACCTGGTCAATGGAAGATTTAAATAAAGTAGAATTTCTCCCTGCATTAGGTATGATACTTTTTCTATTTAGTTTTAATTTGGGTATTGGATCTATACCATGGCTTTCCTGTTCCGAATTATGGGCCCCCAGTATTAAGGCAAAGTTGGGATCTGTAGCATGCGCCTTTAACTGGTCGCAAGCGTTTGTTGTATCAAGATATTATTTCGCAGTCTCAAGCGCTATTGGAATAGCCAACACATTTTTTATATTTACCTTAATTTCTTGCAGTAGTATATTTTTCGTTATCTTTTTCATACCAGAAACGAAAAACAAAAGATATGACGAAATCCTTCCAGGTTTAGAAAAATTTTGTACATATTGTTAATAAAGTTTATTTTTAATTTTAATTTTCTTTTACAAAAATTAATTAAAACATATTATGGAAAAGGGTAAACGAGTTTGTAATCTTATAAAATAAGGCAATAGAAAGCCGTGAACAATAAATTCAATTTTCTTTTTTTAATACAGATAGCAGATAATGAATTTGTTTCATTTCAAGTTACCTGGTATATACGAAATTTTGAAGTTTGTATAACTAAAACTTCAGTTTGGCATTACTTCGGTCGAGTCCATGTAGTAGCAGTCTGTACCACGCGAATCGGCCCATTGCATTATTTAACTTACGAATAAGACTATAAACTACTAATTGGTAGATTTTTATCGACATTGCGTGAATTGTAAACCAGGATAAAGGAAAGCACTATTTTTTAACCAACCAACCGGTCGCTTACTTTTATTCCTATCTATGCAACCATTTTGCTATTGTTCCTCGCCGAGATGCAATGACACAGATAGTGTCTTCAGTTTATTTATTTTGAACACTCCTGATTTTATCGCTTTGCCCATGTATCTACTTATTTCGACTGGGTTTCGGAAAATTTAAAATAAAACACGAATTATCGTGATCGTGAAAGCACCTAATAAATGTGTTGTCACACGTACCCTTGGCAAGGAGGACAGGAAGATAAAAAATCAGTTGAAAATTTTTTCGCTACTTCATCTCATATCGCAGCTCGCACTAGTATGATGGGAAGAGAACCACCAGAGCAGCGACTAAATGCCAGTAAATGTTACCCAACAAAATACAAAATATTTGTTTACGTTTCGAGTTTTAATTCGATATTTTTTATTCATTGTTTTATAAGAAAGTGTGATTAGGAAATTATACATCTGTAATAATAACAGAAAAGTAAGTAAATAGTAGGTATTTCAATTTGATGGAAACATTAGATAAATAGGTATGGGAGTTCTATTTGTTAGAAATGCAATTAAGCATATCTATTATTACCTACCTACAAAATATATTTGGGAGAAACTAAAAATTATGTAGTTAAAGAAGAGCTTATTAAAAATGCAGAATTTTGGTAGGTACAAAAAAATTATGTGTTAATTTTTATATTTATTTTATAGGTTTAGGTTTATTATTTGTAATATTTTTTCTCAATGAAACTACAATATTACCATTAGTTGTTTGTATGGATTTCCTAATTAAATAAAGGATCTTTCTTCAGGTAAAATGTAGCAAATTTCTGAAGTATATTATGGCATATATTTGAAATCAAATAAATCAAATGGACAAGGGTCATCACTATACGAATGTTGTCCCCACTATCAAGATATTATATTCAACAGTGGAAAGTGTACACTTGTTGGCACAGCTTATTAAATATATGCAGAAGTCCAAGAAAGTGTAACGGTACCAGCTTTTACTATAATAATAATGGTTCTTACCAATCTCCTGTTTTTGTGTAGGCAAGATTTATAATTGTTGCCATAAATTCCACATTGTGTGTCAGAATGTTTTGGTTTTCCCGAAAACATATTTTTATACAATATAGAGCAGAAAGTATATTTTTTTAAAACATCTTTTAAGTCTTTTGAAAATTAAATGTTTATTTGCAGGTAAGATAAGTAAATATTAAGGCTATTCATAAAAAAGGTAATTGTAATTTTGTTTCAGCAGTAGAATTTTCTACAATTAATTTAAAATATTTGTTTATAAACAAATAAAAGGTCTTTAGTATGATCGGTAGATTATATTTTTATTAATTTAACACTACATATGTTTCGGAATAAAATTCCATCTTCTGGTGCAGTCCCAGCCTTTTAAAATTAAAAAAAACCTTTAGGGACATAACAAACACTTTAAAATGATCACGGACGAAACCATTGTCTTGTTTGTGATAATGTGTAGGTGTATGTAGGTCTATTTAACAAAATTATTAGGGAAACAAAAATAAGAGTTTTTACAGAATTTAAAATTTCCAGTGGCAATACAGTATAAATTAAATAGCTTACAACTAGTTGATTAAATTAAAATAAATGTTAGACAAATCTTTTACACATGTCAGTTCTATTATTTACAGAGTGAAATATTTAGCTCATTTGTTTTCTTGAATTTGTATTTAAAATTTGAAAATAATGCTTGATTTATGAGCAATTTCTACATTATATTTAGGGCACATTTTCGACACTTGTTTGGAAAGTCCATTTACATACAGCAATTTAATAATGTTTAAAAAAGGGGACCGAAAAAAAATATTACAGTGATAACACTTTGTGCTTTTGACTATTTACGTACCAAAAGCTATTTATTTAAAATAAACAATTCTAAAACAAGGTATTTTTTTTAGGTTAAATAATAACGTTTTGGAGACCACAAAAACTTGCAAAAATATTAGTAATGAAAATATACGGAATAAACACCACAAATTATGGACATATTTGGATGGAAATAGCACTTTTAAATATATCCAAAATATTTTGAATATCTTGTTATTTTAAATGTTAATTAACAATTTTGTAAATAGTTTATTTTCAAATAAATAAAATTTACTTGAATATTTAGTTATATTTTAATGATTTTGATTAGAAATTCATCCAGTTCTAGTTTAAAAAAAAATCAGTAATAAATTTGTTAATTTTTTTAAGTAGAACACCAAGAAAGCAATGTTGACCAATTTATAATGTACAAGAAAGGGACAGAAAAAATGATACCACATATTTCTGAGGCTTAAATATAACGGTCTAAGTCTAACCCAACTTACCTTTGTCAAAAAATGGATGATTTCGGAGATATAGAGTTTTAAAAGTTCAATTTGCTTTTAGTTTTTCATAAATATTAATAATTGGTGTATTTTCAAAATATTTAAAGGCCGCCTTTTTTATAAGTCCATATATCTTAAAAACGGCTGTTACCTTTCTTACCTTTTTTAGGTATAAGACGTTGGAGAACAATAAATTTTATTTAAAATTTGTGTAAGGTACCAAAGGTACATTTTACAATAAAAATGAGAGCAGCTTTTAATTTTTGCATACTACACTGTACAGTTTTGTACTTTTTTTTAAATATAGTTTAGAAAAACAACATATGAAAAGTAGTATCTTTATTTTGTAATTTTGTTATATCTTAATTATTAATAATAAAATAATAAGTGAAAGAGAAAATACATCTTGATATTTACATTGGAACCGAACCAAAAAAATACCAAGTACTCAATATGTTAATCTACACCAGAAGATTCGTTCATTCGTTGTGTTTTTAGCTGCTCAATATTTATTTGAAATTATATCAATTTTATGAGATTAAACCCGCAGTGATATGAGGCAGCCACTACACAACTTTATTGGTTTCTTTAGCTATTTCATCGACAACATACAAATTATGTGCATCTTTATGTTGCCGAATTAGGTGTAAAAGTTAATATCGTTTCATATTTAAATAAATTTAATATTTTTAGTTTATAACCATTTTTACATTTCAGCAAAGTTTTATTCAATCTAGAAAACTAATTTTTAAAAAAGAATTCATGTACTAATCTTCGAATAGCATTTAGAACCTCTCATCAAATGTTTTCTAGAAGTCCTAATCTTCCATCAATACTTTTTGGACTAGATATTGTTCCATTATTGCGGTATTATTTCAATACTTGGTAAGTTGTTGACTTTACAATACATGTAAGAAAAATGTTGAGTATTCAATATTATTTTTAATTTGAAACTAATGAGTAAAACTTACCTATGGTTTGGGAAATTTTGGATATAACATCAACAATTTTGGTTTTTGGTTTATTATCCAATGCCTATTTGTACATATTTATTATTTATTGCTTTTCTGAGAAGTTTAAATGACCTAAATTCGTTCGTTTTCGTTGTTTTGGTGAACTCTGCGAGGAACTGCTATAATAGTATTCGATATAGGAAGGTCCATAATGATAGACATTTAATACAATTGCTTAATTAAGTTCTGAAAAGAACTGTTATTAACGAAATAAAATAAAAAAACTAAGTAATAATGATGAGATATGAAAGCAATAACAAAACTTAAAATATAAAATGCCAGAACTGTCTATAATAACAATTATTAGCTAAAAAGTAATGTGTAAAACTGACTGCAATCTGACCAATCAAAAGTCTACAGAATTGCCAACTTAAATTCAAATCGCTCCACTTAGTTAAAAACAGAGAATAGTTTTTGGCAATAATCTCTAGTTATTGTCATTAAAAATTACCTAGTTTTTGGCATCAAACTCTTGAGATTGGACGTAGGAACACCCAGTTATTAGCGGCACATACTAATTATTGGCATATTTATTTCACTAGTTATTGTCCAATTTCTAAGTTCAAAATTTTAATTACAAACGTCTCAAAATTAATAAAAAAAAAACAAGTTTGGTAAAGTAAAACGGAGTTTAATCCTAATACAGAAGTGATAGCAGGTACAAAAAACTAAATAACTAGGTAGGTACCAAAATTATTAAAAAAACAATATTAAATTTTACATTTAAGATCCTGGCAATAAAGCTAAACAAACTTTACATTTAAAAAAATCTTGGTACCTATTATGTTTTTTTTTAGCGTTGGGCATGAAATGCTCTGGACATGTCTGGCATTGTATGCCATAATTTAATGAAGAAACATTTCTTGTGCATGTAAAGCAAAGTTTTTTATTGCGTATCACATTATTAATTGGTAGAGTTAATTTAGAAGTTGATGTTTTATTAATATCACTACAATTTGATGTGGTAATTGTATCAGATTCAGTGAAGCTTAGATTTTTCACATGAATATTGGCGTCCCTTATGTTTGAGTAATCTTAGGATGTTCATTAACTTTAGTGGAATTGGCCATTATTAGAGGCTTTAACTTGGTCTTTTTCCCTTTTGAGCATTGTCGGTGTCTTTAAAAGTATTTGTGGTTTTTACTTCAGTTGGCTTTTTATTGGCAGTCCTTTTTGCATTAGTATTCTGTTTTTTATATTGACCTTCTTTTTTTCCTCTCTCATACGATTTTTTTCTTGTTTCTCTTTTTTTTTTTCTTCTTCTTTTTGCTTCTCTTTATAATTTTTTTTCAACCACTAGACGATAGGCCACATCTGACAATCTTTTAGTTTAGAAGTTGTTCTGTTCTCATTAAATGGTTGGCTTAATTTTTCAAGGCATTTTTTTCTAAAAGAGTAGGACAAGGTGGTTCATC